GGGGGCGGAGAGAAAAATTTAATTTAAAGCAATTATTTTAAAAGAAATAACAAGCCTTCACTAAAATTTAACAACAAATAGCAGTGGACTAGTGTCAGATACTGAAAACCTCACGAATAGGTACGGAACACTGTCAAATGAAACGCTGGAGGATGAGCCCCTCAGGTTGGCAGGGACTCTAAACATGGCTGAGGACAACGACTTAGGCTTACAACTCTTGAGTTTGAGGTGGTCCAATAATAGGCAACCAAAGACTACCACATACTTGCCACTTTCATGTTTTCTTAGCTTTTTTTCAAGACATTTCTTAGTTCTGGAGACTAGTTCTGCTACAGTGAATGCGTGTTATTGAACTTTGTGCCCTGTGTCTAACCCTCATTGTTTTCTTCAACAGGACTCAGTTACTTCAGTTTTGAAAATATATGTAAATGAATATCCTATATATTTTACTCTAAATGCTTTCCCATATATGAATCTTGTCCTTATCACAATAGAATTTTAAATCCTATACCATTGGCTAGTTTAATGATATGATTACTATAATTACCATAAGCCCTATAGAGATTATTTATAATACCTCTCACAAAGTTGATAATGCCACTAATGTGGAACCAGGATATATATGAACCCTAGATATTTTAATGAATTTTAAGCTCACACTTAACCAGCCTGCTCAATCCAGCCTGCTTAAAACTTACTCTCATGAAGGGATCGCTAAAGATATGGATACTATAGCAAAGAGCAGTAAAGAAAACAGATGGTGCCACCTATCAGAAAAAATAGCATCTGAGCCTTAAAGGCTTGTCTTAAAATAGCAGCCAACTAAGTGAGAGGTCAGCAAAACCCACACAAAAGTACACCAACCTATGTGATGCGAGGATTGTGAATAATAAAATCCAACCAAGATCAATGTATACTTTCTTTTTCTTGACAGTATTTTAAATTCTATATCACTTGTACACTGGTACAGATGGGAAATGAAAACACAGGGAATCCAGAACAGAT